AAAAGAAAAAAAAATATTGTGCCTTGACTTAAGTGGAGTTCAATATAATTTCACTAAACCAATAAAACAAATATCTAAGAGGTATAAAAATAGAAATTAGGAAGGTATAAGTATTTATTATAAGAAAATCCTCTTGATACATAAAAAATAGTATCTTTAGGCTCGTATGTCTGGACTATGAAAGAAAATTAAGTTCACCATAAAATTAGGAGTCTGGCACTAAGCCCACCTGTTCAATGTGAAAACTCCATTCAATCTTTAGTCTTCTAATTAAGAAGGCACAACTCCTCTAAAGACAGAAACATAAATTTGTAACAGGTCTGCTGACAAATCATCTTTTGAAAGCCCGTCAGAGTTCTTGGGAGTTCCTACACGCTAATTACAAAATGTTCAAATCTAACTTATCAGGAAAACGGGAAAAATAGTGATTGGGAGAAGGCATAAGTGACGTTTGACATTATTCTATTTCTTTCACCGCAGTGGTGATTCAAAATGTGTTCATTCTTTGTGTGTACACCATGCTGCAAAGAATTTTTTTTCAAATAAAAGATGCATCTTTCAACTTACTGCTGTACTTGGTGGCTGCAGTTTGCACTTGTGAAGCTCACAATCATCTGCAGCTTTTCAGTCGCATAGTTCACAAACTGCTGCTTAAAGGCTCTCTCCTTGGCACGCGTGGTCCATGTCAGCCTTTCATAAAGATACAACGCTCCGTACATGCTTAGCGAAACAGACACGAGTTTCCAGCCTATGGTTTTCCAAATCTGTAAGACAGTCACAGCTTACTCTGAAAAGAAAAATACTAGCTGGGAGAATGTATTAATAAGCTCACTATACACACACATATATATATATATATATATATATATATGAGTCAAATCCATTTTCTAAAAATGCCTATTTCTTGTCCATGAGAAAAAATGAGGTTAACTGCAAGTCAATGACATGGAAAAGTGGTTAGCACATAAATACCAGGAAGAACTTTTATAATTTGTCAGATTTGATAAATTGATTTAATGTATCTCAAAATTTTCAATAATTAAGAACTATTACTGAGCTGGGCACGGTATATATACCTGTTATAATACCACCATTTGGTGGGCGGAGGCAGGACTACATAGGAACTTCAAGGCTAGTCTAGGCTGTATAGCAAGGCCTAGTCTCAGAAAGAAAAGAAAAACAGTCTAGTACTAAATATATTAATCTTTAGTACTTTAAGACAGATTCTCTTTGTATTCAGCCCCCATCCCTAGCCCTGCCCGCTCTCTTCTTTTGTGGTACCCAGGGCCTTGCACACGTTAGGCAAGAACTCTGCCACTAAGCACAATCCCAGCCTCACTCCTTTCTTTTTACTGTAACGTGTAAAGAGAATTTCTTTGTGTGCAGAGGTGTGAAAATAGGAAGTATTGTTTCAAACAACACTGGGCTGAAGCTATAGTTCAGTGGTAGAGTGCCTGCTTGCCTCAGGCCCCGTGTTCAATCCCCAGCAATGCCAAAAAAACAGCCCCAAACAAATCAAAACCCAGGTGATGGATATATTTAAATTCACAATATGATTTGCAAAGTTCTTCACTAATTTTAGCCTGCAGATTTTCATATTGCTTCATAGAAACAGAAGCAAACACACCTTTCCTTCCATGATCTAACAGACAGCTTTGTGACAATTTCAATTAGAGCAAGGCACAGTGACACATGCCAGGAATATCAACACTCAAGAGGCTGAGGCAGGAGGATCATCATAAGTTCAAGGACAGGTTGGGCTACACAGTGACCTCAAGACCAGCCTAAACTATGTAAAGAAGACCCTGTTTCAAAGAAACAAAACAAACAAAATCATTTATACTAAAAATGTTTCTTACCACTCCTCCAACAACTATGATGCCCATAGAAGTCCTGGACGTAAGGGAAGCCAATCCCGTTATTAAGGTGACCATGAGTTCCTCCTGCGATGCATTATCTGGTGGTGCTGGATTAGGAGGAGCAGTGGGAGTTGAAGCTAAAGACCTAGGGAGCTAATAAATTTAGGGAATAAAAAGTATTACAGTCACATAAGGATAAGTGAGATAACACATTTATAAAATTATTTTTTATTTCTTTTAAAATCAGAGCAGCCAATATACAAAAAAATAGCTCCAAACAACACATCTACTCTAAATACATAAATAAAGGAGAACTGAGGATGAGTTTCTGTGATATGGAACAATGGTATAACGAATAATGCCTTTTCATAATATACCATGCGGTCTACCTGTATCAGTAATTCTCAGGGAAAATTAAACTGCAGTTTTTAAAATAAACAGGCTTTAAATAAATACAGCTCAGTGGTATAGCCCTAGCACCAAATGAGAAAAACAAGCCATTCACCAAAAGCATGGTCATTTAAAAAAGTTTGGTCCAAGACAATAACCTTTTAAACTGCAAAATACATTAAAAACAATTTAAAAGCCACAAACTGGAAATATATATTGGGATGGTACCTAACTAATAAAAGACTTGTACCCAAAATATATGAAGAATTCTTAATAGAAACAAAAGCCAAATAATACAAAATAAAAAACGAGTAAAAGATATGAACAGATACTTCACAAATAAGGGTACATGAATGGCTAATAAGCACATGAAAAGACATTCAAAATCATTACTCATCAGGGAAATGTAAATTAGGACTACCCTAGGATACCACTTCACACCCTCTAGAGTAAAGGATGACAGCAGGTGCTGCAAGTACACTGAGAAACTGGATGCTTTATACAATTCCGACAGGAATGTAAAGTGGTGCCAATACTTCGGAAAACGGCGTGGCAATTCCTCAGAAAGTTAATGTGACCTCTCCAGCAATTCACTCCTATTTATATTCTTCAGAGAACTGTTATAGTTTCTGTCTAGATGTGCCCTCAAAACCTCATGCTGTTGGAGCTGGGGCTTTAGCTCAGTGGCACAGCGCCTGCCTGGCAAGTGCAAGGTCATGAGTTCGATTCCTGGTACTGGAAGAAAAACAAACAAAAACAAAAACAGAACAAAACAAAACAAAAAACCCTCATGCTGTCATGGGGGTGGGCTTCTAGAGCTTGTGATTGATTCATGGTCCAACACTGGGATTGGGATTGTGAGCGCTACATCCCGCCCTGCCCTCCCCCCCCCCCTGCAGGTAGCCTGCATACAATATATGGGAGGGAGAGGCTTGCTGTCTCCTCCCCTTTTGCTCTTGTTGCTTTTGCTGTCTATTGCGGCCATGAATATCAGCCATCAATGTCTTCCCGTAAGCCATACCACCCTGCCTTGTGGCCTGCTAGTATGGACTGAGACCTCCACCAACTGTGAGCTAAATAAACCTTTCTGTCCTTAATTTGGGGTGCCGGGTATTTTGTCTCAGCAACAACAGTAAAGTAACTAAGACAGGAATGAAAACACATTCCACAGAAAAATGTGGGCATGTTCACAGCAGTAGTTTTCATACTGCCCCCAAGGTACTAACCACTGGTACTATAAACTGATGAATGAATAATGTGTTGTATCTATAACAGAACATTACTTGGCCAGTAGCTGTAACGAAATACACTTGCTACAATATGGACACTATGATAAACCTTGAAAACACACTAATTAAAATAAGCCAATCAGATAAGGCTATTGCTTATATGCTTCTATTTAAGGAAATACTCAGAAAAGGCAAATCTCTACTGACAGAAGGCAATTTGTGGTAGGGATGGAGACAGGAGTGATGATTCACTATAATGGGCATAAAAGATCCTTTTGGAGGAACAGAAACTGTTCTGAAACCTAATTATGGTGATGGGTTTACAGCTCCACACATCTTCTTAAAAACGACTAAATTAATAAACTTCAGCCAAGTGTGACACGTCTATAAACCCCAGCTACCAAACAGACTGAAGCAAGAGAAGCCTGAGTTCTAGGCCAACTAGGGAAACTCAGCAAAACCCTACTTCAAAATGAAAGTCAGAAAAAAGGGCTGGGCCAGAAGTGGCTGCACATGCGTGGAATCCCAACACTCTTGATGCTGGGCAGGAAAACTGCTGCAAGTTCAAGGTCAGCCTGGACTACACAGCAAAACCCTGACCCAAAAAAGAAAAGGACCTGGAATGCAGCTCAGTGGTAAAGCACTTGCCTAGCACATGCAATGCCCTGGTTTTAATCCCCCAAACTCAAAAAATGTAAAAACCAAAAACAGATAAATGTTGAAGTTTAACTTCCTTACCTATATTCCAATTTATGTGAAGCCTTAACTAAAACAAAAACTTTTTTGAGATGGGGTCTCACCATATTCCAAGCTAGCTTCGAATTTGCAGTCCTCCTACCTCAATCTCCTAAGTAGCTGGAATGACAGGTATGTGCTACCAACAGTTTAAGAAAGTTTTAAAAAGGAGTTTCAAAAGTGAATGTAAGCCAGGGGTAGTGGCACACACCTATAATCCCTGCCCTTGGGAGGCTGAAGCAGCCTGGGCTACATAGTAAATTCAAGGCCAGCCTGACCTGCAATAGAGAAAGCCTGTCTCAAAAAAAAAAAAAAAAAAAGTTTTCACTGGATAAAAACTTAGGGCACCCAACTCCGTAATGGCTTTATGAGCTTGTACGTATGCAGATTTGAAGCTAGTTTTATTTTTGGTTTTTCTCCGGTACCGGGAACCGAACTCACGACCTTGCGCTTGCCAGGCAGGTGCTTTTGCCGCTGAGCTAAATCCCCAGCCCCATGAAGCTAGTTTTATTAGAGAAAACTGCACAACCAAAGTACAAAAAGAGAGTTTGATCTGGTAGAATTAAAGATACATACCTGAAGGATGGGTTCTGATAACCCAAGCAGCACCCTCTGAGCATTTGTAGGGCCCAAGAATCGATGCACAAGGGATGACCAGCCCAGGGAAAAACGAAATACAATATCTTCCTGAAAATCTGAGCATAACTTATGGCAATTTAGGTCATAACTAAGATCAAACTTCTTGCAAGGGATCAATGTATGAAGTTTATTCTGTACGTCAGCTGGAAGTAGTGGCTTCAAATTTTCTGGAAAGAATAAAATTACTTTATTTAGTATAAGAAACAGTCAAAAATAATGGCTTGCCTTCTGTAAAATATCCAAAGGAAAGTAAGCCCTTTACCAACAAAGAAAAAAACTACACATGACCCTATAGACCATAAATATTACCAATAATTTCTTGCTGGGACTGAAGCATTGAGGCATTGACTTCACTGGTGCACCGATCAGCCAAATTTCTTCCCATGCCATCTTCTATGTGTTTATTTAACTCCTGTTACCAAGAGGAAATGTTCACATTATTTTTTTCTCCAGAAAATATATAGATTTTTAAAGACTTCTGAAATATAACAAATACTAAAATGGTCCTAATTCCGGTTAGAGGATACATTTTGGTTGTTTTCGTTTGGTTTTTGGTGCTGCGGAACCCAGAGTTTCACACATGTACGCTAAGCATGTATTCTCACCAAGTCACACCCCCCAGCCCCTTCTGTATTTTATATACAAGATAGTTTACATGTATTACCCATGCACAAGATTGCCAAGGTGACAGAGAAATGGCCAAACCACTGAATAAGTAGGACTATAAAATAAGCTAAGGAAACTGCCTCAGAATAATTTTTTAAGAACACTTTAACTTACACTTTTATATACTTTCAATACACTGGGAGTAGGATGAAACTCAGAACAAAATTCATCAACTAAAACAGACAGCCGACAAATTTCATCTGTCATTGCACATGAAACCTAAAAAAAGGGTAGAATTTAAATTTTTTTTAAGATTATGAACTACTAAAAAAATCAAACCACGAAAAATTAATATATTCCTTTAAGGGACAACATTTTCAGCATTATTAAAATATTTCCATTTCCAGATATTTTGATCATAAAGCTGTTACCTTGTTTGCCACGTCCTCAGTAACCTCCTTTATCTTTTTCTTCACATCCAGTGTTAAAAGGTTCATTTGATTTCGAATGAAGTCCAGTCTGTCAATTTGATCTTCTCTCTCTTCCATTGAATACACCCTATTATATGGTAAAGAGTAATCAGTACAGTATATCGAAGTCCCAAGGCAATTAAGCAAGGACACTCTTTTATGTACTGAACTATTAGCATGGCACAACAAAGAAAAATCTTGCACTTTGACACCTGAAAGTATTCAATTAGTATACTTATTTTATTTCATTTATAAAATACTTTATAGAGATGATTTGATGTAAACTACACAGTCTCCGTGCCCATTTGGTACGTGACACAGAGGGGCTCAATAAATATGCTAAGTCTCCAACCCTTCACAAACATGAACAGTCAAAACAGCACTCAACAGGGACTTCAGTCAATAAACAAGTGTCTGCAAAAGGCACCCTGGTAAGTCAAATCCGGCCACGGGCCAGTTTTTACTGTAAGTTTCCTGGGACAGTGCTGCGCCCATTCAATTCTATATGGAAAGGGACCTCTATGGCAACACAACCTCCTTACAAAAAGGCTGCACATGGACACCACACTGCACCGGGGCTGAGAGCAGGCTCAGGTTTGCAGCCTTATGCTCCACGGGCTGTATTTCCCTACTTGTGTACTTCGTATGTTCCTGAGACAGCACAAAAATCAAGCAACAGACGGGATACAGGGAGGGATACTTCCAGCAAAAGTACAAACATTTAAAATTTCAGTTTTATTTTGGATTTAATCTTTGGTGCTCTGTTTCCTTGAACTGGCTTAAGTCTACTAAAGGTCCAACTGAGGCTTAGCATCATTAGTTGTGTCAATCTAGTAGTCTTGATTTTTATTTCCAGTACACCAAGTCTGCTAGAACTGTTTTTCATCAATACTGCTGGTACTGCCATGCATCCATTTCTAAAAAAACACCTGGTCATGGACTGACCGCATCAAGAGGATCACCTGATTTGGAATTCATAAAATTCTGCTTGAAGAAATGGTTCTTCCACTGTTTTAAAGACATTTTAAGCCCTCTAAACATTTTAAAATCATAACTCATACAAAGGAATACTGAGATTTATGGAATGTAAATGATGAGTTAAAAGTTACAGAATATTTGCATTTTCAAATATTCATTTAAAGATACACAAGTAAACAACCACTAAACCCCAGGATTTATTTTACTGGAAAGTACTTATCATATAACTTAAAACCACACGGTTAGAAGTCTGACACAAATCAAATGACATTTTTATGTTGCAATAAAGTGAGCTCATACCTTCTTTCTGCTGCTGCCACGTTTACTGAATCCACTATGTGTTTCACAGTGTCTAGTATCTGCTTAGCTCTGACAGTGTGCTGTTCAAACTTTGTTTTCACTGCTGACTGCGAGATACACTCCTGCGAGGGGCCCAAGCCATAACACATTACTGTAATTCCGTCCCAACGCTTTCAGGAATTTAAACACAAAAACTTGCTGATTGTAACTTAGACCAAAATAGAAATAACAATAGGAAGAGGAAAACAAAACAAAACAAAAGCATAGTAAACACAACTTAAAATTACAAAGGTTAAAAAAATTCAAAAGTAAAAGGGGTTTTAACAGCAAGTTTATATCTTTGTGTGTTTTTACACAGTAATGTGGAATGGGGTTTGACTCTAATATTTATAAATAAATAAATAAATGGCACTCAGTGTTAAAAGGGTCTATTATAAATACCTATTCTGATCACTTTTATTTATTTATTTATTTGTTTTTGGTTTTTCTCCGGTACCGGGAACCGAACTCACGACCTTGCGCTTGCCAGGTAGGCGCTTTTGCCGCTGAGCTAAATCCCCAGCCCCTCTGATCACTTTTAAAACAATCTGAATTCCTCTGTTTTTCTCATACTCATAACAGACAACCTAATAAAGTCCTCCATTGAGTTGTGAATTAGAATTCCTATTAAGAAAATCAGCTGAGGGGGCTGGGGATTTAGCTCAGTGGCACAGTGCCTGCCTGGCAAGCACAAGGTCATGAGTTTGATTTCTGGTACAGGAAAAAAAACAAAAAGAAAATCAGCTGAATGATATGATGATTTACATAACACTACTAAAACGGCTTTCTATGGATTAGTGACCAACTTTAAAAGTAATCTTCAGCAATAAACCACCTAAATAGTATTTCAAATCATTTACAGAAAAACACTGGCAGTCATTTTAAAGATAATCCTCCTTTCACCATTAGACTAGAGTGGGTACACGCAGGCCTGGATGATGCTTTAACTCCTCTGCCTCACCTTTGCCTAACTGCAGTTCACAATCCATTAACAGTACAAATCAATTAAGCTTTTCATAACCAGTGTTTTAATAGAATATATCAGATTGAACTGCATATGGTGATAGGCATTTATTTTGTAAAATTTTTCAGTTTTCAACATATGTTATATTATTTGTTTTTTTTTTTTTTTTTTTTAAGACAAGATCTTTCTATGTATCCTGGCCTTGAAGCTCACTGTGTAGTCAGGCTGGCCTCAAACTTGTGGTGATCCTCCTGCCTCAGCCTTCCAATTGCTCGGATCACAGGTATGTGCCATCATGCCCACTTGCAATACTAATTGTTATCTACATACTTTTTTTACTGTGATTCATCAAAGCTCACAAAACTGTTATTTTATGATTGGCCTCATTTCATTTTTCATTTATAGAAAAAACATTCTGCACTGACAAAACATTTAAAAACAAGTGTTTACAGAGAAATACTACCCAGTCTTTGAACACCATAAGAAGTGTTAGCCTGGGTCACGTCAGCATCAAACTATACTCAAATTCTCTAATGCTGTGACTCTATCTTCTTAAAATTATTATTCACCCTATAGAAACTGTTAATTCCTAAAGCTCATTACTATCGGTCCATTGTCAAAAAAGTAGCATTAAAGCTTTAAAAGGTATTCATTTAATACTCTAGTTATCTTGAAATCATTATCTAGTATGTTACTTGCTCATTAAATATACTATTTAAACAGACACTTAAATTTCTATCTCTAAAAGTGATTATGCATTTCACTCTGTAAAAGTCTACTATAATCTTTTGACATGTCAGCTCCACTCTTGAGGATCTTATTTAAGGTATAGAAAACAAAATTCATTTCCTTAGGTAGAGGGCACATAAGGACAATCCAGGGAACAGCTGAGAAAGATAGCTTCACTTATGGCCATGGTGACATTATTTACGCATCACTCATTCTCACTGAGCTTCAGTGGACTGACGGTAGGAAGCCACGGGATTCCTGTTCTGTACAAGCCTAAGACAAAGCTCAAACATTCCAGGACGCTTCCTTCTTTAAAACCACCAGCGGTACCGCCCAGTAACCATCTGAGCTGGACACTACTTATCTTCTAATGAGCAAGACACAGCTCTGATTATAGTCTAAATAACTGTGCCTCACAAAGTGCCAAATTAATCTCCACAAAATTATAATAAAAACATAAAAATAATTCTAAAAGAAAAAAAGGTTAAAAGAAATTCTATGTTCCTCGATGAAGTAGATCTAGATATCAGCAATGAAGATTCAAATTCACAGGCAACAGCACAGTGTTAGAGCTAGACTCGACAGAAACGAAAAGATCTCCAAAAGTTATTAGACAATATGTTAATCTTGTTTCAGAAACATACAGTGATGAATGAATATAAAGACACAATCTTATTCTAATTAAAAATTACTACACATTGATTAGTATTCCCATTCATCTGCACGATGGTAAAAGATACCGGGAAAAAGAGTCCTCATACGCTAATGTGCCATCTTCATGGGAATACATACAGTATACAAAGTTCCCATACTTATTTTATCAGAAACTGATTTTCAGAGGCATTTAAAATACTGTTGGAAACCAATTAAATTTCCATCATGTCGAAGTATTTTGTAGGCTGCATTAAAACTTATTAATGACTTAGAACCAATATAATAATTGCATCCCAATTATGATAGCTTTTCGACTTTCTAATAATATCTACAGCACATGGCTGATACTTAATCATGCAGTTACATTTTTAGCTATTAACATGTTTAAAACAAAACCAATGAACTTGTCAAGTCCCCTTGATGACAGACCCCACAAACACAAACAATATGCAATTCATTACTCTAAACTTACAATTTCAGTGTATTTTAAACTGAAAGAATACTACTATACCTTTTTGCCAGATGTACCAAATAGTAATATTCAGCCTCATTTATTTTGTTTTTTGTTTTGATTTTGGGTTTTGAGGCAGGGTCTCCCTATGTTTTCCAGGCTAGCCTCAAACTCAAAGGGATCCTCCTGCTTCAGCTTTCAGAGTGCTAGGATTAGAGACATGCACCACCAAACCCAGCTTCAGCTTCACTGGTTTCTCTCTCATCACACACACATTTATACATTTTAATATTTACACATATATACAGATATACATAAAAGTGATCAAAACTATAGAAAATGTTTAATTTTAAAAATAAACTTATTACAGTAAAAGATACATTGCCAAGAACAATGGAATAAGCACATTCAAAGTGTGGCGGAGTACTGTGAGTATTTGGGGGATTACTGACAATGTGTCTTTTATTGCAAATTTTAAAAATTTAAACATTCATATTAACCTGCATATGTATACATATGCATGTATACATGCACACACACATACATATATATGTATGACATATGCACACAACACATGTTTTAAAGAGCTAGGATCTTACTAAGTTGCTCAGGTTGGCCTTGAACTCTTCGGCTAAGCAACCTTTACCATAGGGACAATAGTACTATTTAACACAGCCCACATCCAAATTTCACCAAGCATCCCAAAACTGCCCTTTACATAATCCACTGATATCTTAGAAGTAACTTTATACCTCTCTTCAATCATATAACCAAAACTATTAAAAATAGATGAGAAATACTTGAGCAAAGAAATCTAGATTTCTAACTTGCCTTTCCAATAATGTCTATCCAAATGTAGATTAAAAACAAGCAGAAAATCTGGAGATGGCAGTGCACATCTGTAGTCCCAGCACTTGAGAGGCTGAGGCAGGAGGATCACTGCTAGTTCTAAACCAGCCTGGGGGCTACAAAGTGAGTTCAAGGCCAGCCTGAACTGCATAGCAAGACCCTATTTCCAAAAGACATAAAAAATTTATTTTCTTTTAAATCTTCTCAGACAGGGTCTTACTATATATTTTTAAGCTGGTTTCAAACTCATTATGTACCCTACCCAGGCTAGCCTCAAACTCATGAGAATCCTCCTGCCACATTACAGGTATATACCACCATGCTTGAGAAAATTTTTGAAAGGGTTGGGGATGTAGCTCAGTGCAAAAGCCCTAGGGTTCAATTGCTAGTTGCCCCCCACCACACAAACACACACAAAACAATCAGTAACACTGATTTCTTGATTGCTTTTACTTCACATAACTTCCACCTCTTGGGCTGGGAACATAGCTCAGAAGCACAGTGCTTGTCTGGCATGCACAGAGCCCTGGGCCGAATCCTCAGAACCACAAGGAAAAAACTAAGTCTGGTTTAACTTGGTACTCTAAAAGTTCTAAATACTTAGTTCCCTTCAGCTAAATGAATCTGAAGCCATTTGTGGCAAAGATCAGCTGATTAAGATAATTAACTTGGTACAAAGGGTTTGTTTTTTGTTTTTTGTTTTTTTCCATAAAAATCATTTTATAAGCCTACATAGAAAAATAAATTCCAAAATAAGGAGAGAATGAGTATAAAGGTCACAACAAAAAACCAAGAAATAACCAAAAGTATCAAAACATAAATTTTAATTTTCCTCAGGAAATGCCAAAAATAGTATTTAAAAACTAATTTAAAAAAAAAAAAAAAAAGAGGAAGAAAACTATACTGGATACTGAAACCCTTTGGATATAACTGAAACCCTTTGGATATAACCAAAACTGAATTCATAAATTCACAACCTTAAATCCTTCTTAAAAGAACAGAAAAAATCAGTTTCAAACTATGTGAAAGTTTAATGAATGAATAACCCTAACGCAGCAATTTCTAAGAAATCATAAATCACCAAGACTGATTTAAAAAAAAAAACTTCAGCTTTCTAAAGGGAGGAATAAAAACTGATAATCTAACCAAAAATGTCTGGCTCTTTATAATGCATCCAGTCACCTTTGCCCAACTCAGGGTCCTTCTTCCTCTCACCAAATTAAAGATGAGGAAATAGCAAACTTCCACTTTAAAATGTCTACCAGGCTGAGGATATAGCTCAGTAACAGAGTGCTTTGCCTAGCAAGCACGAGCCCTGGGTTTAATCCCCAGAACCTAAAAAAAAAGAGTCTACTAAGTATATTCAATGTTCATGTCCCTCTTATTAAAGCTGCTGCTACCTATAAGCAGGAGTAATTAATTATGAGGTCTGTGTCCGTTAACAAGAAGGTGATATGAAATCTAAGCAGAACTATAGTTTAGAAGGTTAACATCTAAAGAACTTTTCAGTTAAACGCAGGATGATTCCTACCGTCTCTGAATAATCAAATGACTACTCTGTAGCACAACCAACTATCCTCCCGCCCAACGCTGCACGTATACCAGCCACACAGTCACGTTAGTAGATTCCTACCAATTCCTAAAGTAGTAGAGCTCTGTCTTAATAATTTTTGTATTCATTCTCTTGTTCACAACATTTGGCACCAAGTGAGAAAGGTTAACAAGTGGCAACACAGCTTAGAAATGTAATAAGATGGTGTTGAATGGCATTAACCATGTTCTGTTTATCTCTGTGTATCACGATACACAAGATCTTTGCTTTGCTCTACGATCTGTTCCAACAGCAATTACATTCTTGTTCTTGCACCAAATTATCCACTACAAAGACTTTCATTCACTGCACAACACGAGCAATAATGGAAACCAGTTTCTTATTTATACACAAATACATAAAGAAAAAAGAAATAATCTTTACTTCTCAATTCTTACAGATCATCCATTTTGCAGGGGCTTCCTTTCTTCAACCTTCCCTTGTTTCACTTGCTGTGTCAGTAACTACACTAAATAACAGCAGAGGTTATTGACAAAGATAGAGAGTGAAAACGAAGATTACAATCACCACGTTCTCCAACCAATGAAAGTGTTTTGTGTTAGCCAATACATTCAGAAAATTCCTACCTCAAAAATTTGTTCAAAATTCTGAAACTCCTGTAACCTTGCCTGAAATCCTTCAGCAAGTGCCCCACCTGTAAGACAGGCAAAATTTTTAAATCTAGCATAGTTCTCTACAGTTATCCTTGAAGGATATGTTCCAAGATGCCTCATGGACGCCTGAAACTACAGACAGTATGGAACCCTATAAACAGTAAATCTTTTCTTACCTGTACATACACACATTAATCCCTTTTCCATCTTAACTAAGCATTTATCATGCACTGTGGCCATAAATTCTGAAACTGGAGGTATGACCACAAAAACTAGTGTGATTTTTTTCATTGTAATTTTCACAGTTAGAAGACACATTCATATATCTCTGACCTCAAGCACATTTTTTTTTTTCCTTAAGTGAGGTGTTTTTACCTTTCCACTTAAAAGGAAGCACTTTACAGCTTCCCTTTGACATATGTGAATTGTAAGTATCAGTAAGTTCTCTTGTTCTCTGGGCCATTATAAAGTAAAATAAGGATTACCTGCATGCAAGCACCACAATAACAGTGCCAGCCGTCTGACTACCAAGATGCCTGCATAGTGCAGATGGTATGGATTTATTGGACAAAAGGATGATTCACGTCATCTGGAATGATGAGAGATTCATCACTCTACTCAGAACAGTGAGTGATTTAAAACTTATGAATTGTTTATTTCTCCTATTTTCCATTTAATGTTTTCATACCACAGCCTAACACTGGTTACTAAAACCACAGATGGGGTAGGAGACTACTATATAAAGCAAGATAAGATTTGGGCATGCTACCATTTTTATAACCTAAATTTATATTTTAAAAAGAAAGCTATAATACATACCACCTTCTGGCATCCCCTGTATTTTGTGTTTTCTAGCACTAAGAACTTCCTTTGCTGAAACAAAGAAGATACGATTCCGTGCTTCTGAAGGATCCACAACTTTGAGCTCGTCCACCAAGAAATGCATACATCTTTCCATGTGTTGTCTGCGTACCTACAAAAAATATTAAAAGAATTCTAAAACTGTAAACATACTGTACATAATGATAACAACAGCCACCGACCTGTATTAAACTTCTTTATAGTGACAGTACAATAGTAACTGCCATGCTGGGGATATAGCTCAGTGGCATAAGCGACTGCCTGGCAGTGCAAGGTCCTAAGTTCGATTCCCAGTACCAAAAAAACAAAACAAAACAAAAAAAACAATCAAATAATAACTGCCATATACATAACAAATCCAGGAAATTTTAATTAGTAAACCTTGATTCTTGATGACAGGAAACCTCTTTCTCTTAGTGATCTTCCTTTTGAATATTTACTTAAAACTGATGGAACATCAAATACTACACAACTAAGCTGGGTGTGGTGGTACATGCCTGTAATCCCAGCACTCGGAAGGCTGAGGCAGGAGGATCAGATCGTTGCAAGCTTGAGACCAGCCTGGGCTACAAAGTGAGCTCAAGGCCAGCCTGAACTGCATAGCAAGACTCTGTCTCAAAAAGACCAGAAAAAAACCAAAACAAATAGTACACAACTATTATAAAGCACTGCAGACAAATATTAATTCTTAATGCCATGGGAGTAGCTTCTCAATTATGTATTAAGGGTGCACCTAATTATTTCACAAAAAATCATGTGTGTACATATGTATGTAAATTAATCGTGGTTGGCTGGGCATGGTGGCACACGCCTGTAATACCAGCACTCGGGAGGCTGAGGCAGGATCGTTGTGAGTTTGAGACCAGCCTGGGCTACAAAGTGAGCTCAAGGCCAGCCTGAACTGCACAGCAAGACCCTGTCTCAAAAAAAAGATTAAAAAAAAAAAGTGGCTGGCAGGCAGGCAACACCCATAGAAATGGGTGGCACTTTTATTTTTTCTTTAAGCTAATGTTTTCTATTTTCTGCAATTAACCTGTTAACACTTTTAAAGTCACAAAATAAGCACTTTTAAATTTACTTTTAAAAGGAAGTTAATTTTATTTTGAAATCAGAACATTACTGGTATGTTTTTGTTCTTATGAACAGTGGGAATTAAAAATCCTCAACAAGATACTTGCAAACAGAATGTAACAATCAGTACATGTAATACACCACATAAACAGATAAAAATCACACGATCACCCCAATAGATGAAGAAGCCTTTGACAACACCCAATACCCAACATGATAAAAATCTTGACAAAAATACATACAGAAAGATCTCACCTCAAACTAACAGCCATATATGACACATTCACGGCCAACATTATACTAAGTTGGGAAAAACCCAATAAATGTTTGTATTATATCACAAACATATAATAAAATAAATAAATAAATAGGGAAAAACTAAATGCATCTGCTCTAAAAGCAAAAATAAGACAGGGTAATACTCTCACCATTCATGTTCAACATAGTACTACTCAAAACTTTAGCCAGAACAATCACACAAGAGAAAGAAAAGGGATATGAATAGGAAAAGAAGAAATCAAGCAATCCTTAGTCACAGATGACATTATCCTTAACACAGAAGACCCAGAAAAACTACCAGAAGCTTTAGAATGAATAAACAAATGCACCAAAGTGTCAGGATACAAAATCAACACAAAAATTAATAGCCTTCCTAAACATTAACAATAAACCCACAGGAAAACAAATCAGGAAAACAGTTCCATTCATGGTAGCTTCAAAAAACTTAAATAATCTAACCAAGTAATTGAATAACCTCTATAATGAAAACTGTAGTACTCTGAAAAAAGATTAAAGAGAACATTAGAAAATGGAAGGACATTCCCTGTTCCTGCATAGGCAGAACTAATAATGTGAAAATGGACACATTACCAAAATGATATATATAGATTTAATACAAGTCCAATCAAAATACCAATAGCACTCATCATACAACTAGAAAAAAAAATCTAAAATTTAGATGGAACCAGAAGAGAACCAGAATAACCAAAGAAATTCTAAGCAAAAACACCAAAGCAGGAGGCATTACAATCCCAGACTTCAAGTCATACTATAAAGCTACAGTAATAACATGAGTATAGTACTGGAACAAAAACAGATATAATGACCTACAAAATACAATTAAGGATGCGGAGACAACCCTAGGCAACTCCAGTCATCTACACTGTTGACAAAGGGACCTTTCAAAAATACACACTGGAGAAAAGATATCCCTTTAACCAAGGGTGTAGGAAAACTGGTTATCCATCCACTGAAATCCCACCTTAATACGTAAGAATGGCTATTACTAAGGACTCAAAAAAACCAAAAACACTGTTAAGATTCGGGGGTGAGGAGAGGAACCCTTTATACCCTGTTGGTGGGAATGTAAACTAGTACAACCACTGTGTAAATCAGTATGGAGAATCCTCAAAAACTAAAAATAGAAATTCCATTTGATCCAGCTAGTTCTCTTCTGGACATCTTTTAGAAAAAGTTAAACTCGTGTGACAGCGACACCCAAGTTCATAGCAGCAGAATTCACCATAGCTGAAATATGGAAGTAGCCTATATGCCCACAGACACATCAACAGATAAGATGATGTGGAATGGGGTAAAATGTATATAAACAACAAAGTAGTATTCGGCCATAAAAAATAATATTGAGACAGGCATGGTGGGTGGTGCACACCCGTAAGCCCAGCACTTGAGAAGCTGAGGCAGGAAGACTGCAGGGAGTTCAAGGCCAGCTTAGACTACATAGTGAGTTCAAGGCCAGACTGAACTATACAGGAAGGTCCTGTTTAAAAAAAAAAAGTTGGATCATTTCTAGGACAATCGATGGATCTTGAGACTACAATGCTAGGTGAAATAAACCAGAGATACAAGCTTAAATATTGCATGGTTTCTCTTATGTGAGAAACCCAAAATATAAATAATTTAAAGAGCAAAATAGGAAACTGCCCCCACGGCATTGGCCCTTGATCAACAAAAACACACATACATTCTGGGTTCTGGCCGCAGCCACCCACCAACTCCAAGTGTACCCAGCAATTTATTTCTCCTCAGCATGGGGCAGCAGAGCCACTGATCAACCAGATGACCTGAATGAGGCCAACGCCCAGGGAGAGATTAGCCCTGGAGAGCCCGCAGCTCTAGGGAGAAATGACAGACCAGGCCAGCGGTGTTAGCCCCCAGAAAAGCCCATGGCTACGGTAAGCTTAAGATGGCATGGGGCTTTGATCCAAAAGACACTCCTTCACAGTGGGCTGCATTCGGAGAAGAAAGCCACTGCAGCACCTGCTAGTGGTCAGTGTTTAATCAGGTGTTGTCTGGGAAGGGGTTAACTGCTTAAGAACAAGCCCCAGAACAACCACAGATAACTCCCTCCTGGGTTCTCAGTGTCTTCCCCACCCCCAGGGACTGGCTGAGAGCCGAGCAGAGCGCCACAGTGAGTGCTGGTCAGACACAGTCCTCCTGAGAAGTTTATGCTCAGGCTAGAAGGACACGGGCCCCTATCCTCTGAGATAAGAAGCCAGGCCTGTGAGCGTGGCTTTCAAGGGCAGCTGGGTTTGAAAGTGCCGGCATTCAGAGCAGAAGTCTGTGTGAACCCCAGCCACTGCCTAAATCCAGCAGAGACCAGAGGTCTGACTGCTTTCCTGCCCACCACCAAGGACGAGGCCACGTCACGGCTCGGATGGTTGCCGGCCTGGGGCCTAGGGACAGAGAAGCATGTGGAGCCGTTGGGGTGCCTCACAAACTCACAGGAGGTACAGCTAAGTGGAAAAATCAAGACTGGCTGGTTCCAAGACTTTAGATCCTGCAGAGAAACCACTCATTCAGAAAGAATTCTGTTTTGTTTCATTCTAAGTCAAATTTTTTTCTTTCTTTTTCCTTTATTGGTTTTGGGGGATTTGGTTTCATCTCCTTTCTTCTCTCCTTCTAATTTTTTTGCTGTTTTTCCTTTGTTTTGTTCTTTTCTTTTTCTTGCTTGTTCTTTTCTATTACTTTTATCTACTATTAATTTCCCTTTAGTCCTCAGTAGGATCCGTTATCTCACTTTTCTGTTCTTCCACTGATTAATTTTTCAAATTCTACTCTTTTCACCCTCTGGCTCACCATTTCCTTTATCCTTATTAGTATAACCACTGAGCTCTACGAATCTTCAGACAGTGAACTTTATGCTATAATTCTCGAATACTGTTCTACTGTTAGTAGAGGTAGAGTTATTGCATTTACCCACAGTAGATATTTGTTTTATGTCAATATTCGGTTTGTTATAGTTTTTCCACTATAATTATAGATCTCTTTTCTATGGTTAAGGGTAGTATAGTACTGCTTCTAAAAAGGAACGCTGAACTGTCGGGGAAAGAACAATTTGTGGGTATTTCTAATTCAATGATTAGATGCGACCCTAATTTATTTTATTTATTTACTTTGTGATACCAGGAAGTGAACTCAGGACCTAGGGCTTGCTAGGCAGGCGTTGTGCCACTGAGCCATATATCACAGGCCCAAGACCCCAATTTATTTTTTGCAGGTTTCTTTTTGGGGGGGGGGGTTCCCAGTACTGAACTCATGACCTTGCACTTGCCAGGCAGGTGCTGTGCTGCTGAGCTAAACTCCCAGCCCCCCCCCCAAACCCCAATTTAAAGAGTATCATTACAAAATAAGTAATAGGATACTAACTTTATATTAAGCAATGAGGAAAATGAAAACAAATTATCTAACATTCGAACAGGAGAGGGTTCTTTTATATCTTTTGTTTTCTAAATTTGCTACAATAAACTCATACTACTATAAAATCAAAAAAGGAGAACCAAGCATATGAGTTATACACCAAACGCTAGACTTAGAAAAGTGTTACTACTGAGGCTTAAATCGCCTGGAGTGCCTGGAGTGCTGGTCAAAATATACGACGATACCAAGTACTTTTACATAACTATGGGGCTGTCTTTAATAAAACTGAACAAATTTTTCACCTGTCATTCAGAACTTCTACACACAGCTTATGAGAATGCAGTATGAGTATACAGGAGAGGTGGTAAAATCGTAGGATTTTTTTTTTAAAGATGCTGCATTTTGCTAATTTTCAAATACTGCGCACACATCTTGGGTATTTTACCACATAATCTTTCATATACAGGTTTTATTCTTTTCTCCATTAGCATTAAAGATTTTAGCTTCATTCATGAAGCCTAATTCTGTTGTCTTCTCACTTTATTCTGAAAATAAGACATGCCAATTTATTATTTTACTTTACTTTACTCTGTCTTTTTGAGACAAGGTTTTACTATGTAATTCAGGCTGGCCTTGAACTCATTTTGCAGCACAGGCTGGCCTCAAACTTGCAGCGATCTACCTGCCTCAGCCTCCCAAGTGCTGGGAATACAGGAGCGCACCACCATGCCCGGCAAGACGTCAATTTTTAAAAAGTTCTGCACATATATAGTACTCACATTCTACTGATCTCTGCATTAGTGACAACATGGGTTCACTAACTCTTTCAGGGGCTGTACTGAGTTACAAAATGTGAAACAGCATCTTTAGCTCTACCCACTGAAGGCCAGCACCACACTATCCCAGTTTTAACAATCAAAAATATCTTCAGACACTGCCAATTATCCACTGGCGTCACAATCACTTAAATCCCACCCAGAGACCCACTAGTGTGTATGTACCTATCCAACAAAAGTGCTACAGGTACACATCAGAAAGACATATACAGGCACATGCTCCGCAATATTATTCACAACAGCTAAATACTGTATAGGAAGCGTAACAGATGTCTACCATTAGCAGAGTGAGTTATTAGAGTATTCACAGGATATAAAAACATACAGATAAAAAAGATACGCCAATGAGAACAGACTACAGCTAGCACGAGATGGATGCATGCGACAGAGAACGTTGAGCAAAAAGATGACAGCCATAGGCAGTTACTATATGATTCCAGTACATAAAATTGAAAAACGAAAAAAACACGCTGGGGATGTAGCTCAGTGACACAAGCACCTGCCTGGTAAGTGCAAGGTCCTGAGTTCAATTCCCAGTCCAAAAAACAAAAAAAAAAAAAAGAAAGAAAAATGAAAAAAAAAAATCTACGGTGTTAGAGGTCATGATAAGCAGTTATTCTTGGGAGGGAAGACAGAAGCTGGACAGAATCACGAGGGCAGATTTACATTACTGGAAATGTTCTGGGTTTTTTACCTCAGTCCTGATGTAGGTATGTTATACTTGTAAACCCCACTGAGCTGAACATTCATGATTTATGTATGCATTTTTCCATCATGTATTTTATACATCAACAAAAAGTTTAAAAAGTTTTAAATTCTGAAATGGTTAGATAGCGCTTCTACAAGACAATTTTCCTTCAAAGCAGCTTACTACCTTGGTTCCCATCATGAAAATATTTTTTGGCACCAGGAATTGAACTCAGGACCTTGCACTTGCCTGGCAGGAGAAAGGTATCTATCATCTTTCATGCCAGGCATTATGGTATAAACCTATTATACTAACATTTGGGAAGCTGAGGCAGGAAAGTCACAGGTTTGGGTCTAGCCGAGCTACTTAGCAAGATGCTGTCTCAGAAAGAAAAAGAAAGAAAGAGAGAGAAAGAGAGAGAGAGAGGGAGGGAGAAAGAGAGAGGGAGGGAAGAGAGGAGAAAGGGAGGGAGAGAAGAAAGAGAAGGAAAGACAGGCAGACAGAAAGAGAGGGAGAGAGGGAAGGAGGGAGGAAGGAGGGGGAAAGAGAGGGAAGAAACAAATCTGCTTCAGGTTTCACAATCACACTCCCTCACAAGTAAGCTGAAGCAAGCTTCTTATGATCTCTTTCTGAAGTATACTATTGCCCTCAGAAAACAATACATATGACTGTATTCCAAGACTTGAAGAAAAAATAACTTACATCTTCCATATATTCTGGCTCTGACGCAGAGGCATCCCAACGATTATTCAAAATGAAAATATTAGGCTTGGAAAGCCGTTCGTTCACCTTGTGAAAAAAATGCTTCTCCTGAAAAATACCAAAAACCCCAAAGTACATTCACTTTTGAAGACATTTTATATTCACATTTATAACTGAAATTTTATTTTAATTTAAAACTTTAAACTCTTTAGACAATAGTAAACATTCACTGATGAGATCCTAAAGCATCCTATGAACATTAAACTTTTCAAAGATAAGGAAACTAACATATAAGAAGACAGAAGTGAGGACTCTACCTTCTCCTGCCACAAGTCTTTTGTGAAATTTAACATTAACAGCATTTATCAATCTCTAGCACATATGGCACATAAAAGGAAATGCTGGATATAGTAATCTGTGCTCTCAAAAAGCTACCTTCTTCAAGAGTCAGCTAAGTAAGTTAGTAATAATGTAAGATACGAGTACAATTCATAATCAGTAGAGAAAGGTATCTATATATATATTTTTTGGCACCAGGAATTGAACTCAGGACCTTGTACTTGCCTGGCAGGAGAAAGGTATCTATAAATACTATAAACAAACACTGACAATTCAGAGGACTGAGGAACTGTATCTAGTTGAAATCAGGAAAAACTCCATTAAGAAAGAAGTGATGATGATGATGAGTTTGACAGTACTGTTAAGCTGGGTGCGGTGGTGCACGCTTGTAGTTCCAGCACTTGGGAGACTAAGGGAAGAGGATCACCATGAGTTTGAGGCCAACCTGGGCTACATAGTGGGACACTGTCTCCAAAAAAAAATCACAACAACAAAAAAAACTGAAAGCACTGTTAACAGAGCCGTTGAAAGGCCTCAAATTCAGATGTACACAAACTGTAGGTGAAGACTAGCATGATCTGGTCTTTGAAGATTTGGAGGTGTAGCTCAGTGGCAAAGCACCTGCCAAGCATGCACAAGGCACTGGGTTTGATCCCTAGCAGCCCCCTCATACATACAAGAATATCATAAGTAAAATTAAAATATGTGTTTTAAACACAATGCATCTTTTCATATTACATATTCATCCTTTCCTAATTATCAATGTTATTATAGCCTGGGTTTTGTAATACAGACTGAGCCATCCAAACATTAAAAGCACAATGGCAAAGAAAGGTTTTGCCAGTAACACCTAGGTTACAATGATGCTCAGTCCCTTACATGCTCTGTTCAGTAAGAATTTCTAAAAATCATGTTACAGTTTTGGAATATTAGATATCTAAACTGTGGAAACTTCATTTGAAATGAACTTGGCTCTAGATATTCTGGGTAAATAATCTCTTTTTTTTTTGTCTTTTTGAGACAGGGTCTCGCTATGCAGTTCAGGCTGGCCTTGAGCTCACTTTGTAGCCCAGGCTGGTCTTGAACTC